AAAAAAAAAAAAAAAAAAATTCTTGGTGGGAACAGCAACTCATGCTTATAAGCCAAAATTTTGGGAGGCCAAGGCAGGAGGATCATTTGAACCTAGGGATTCAAGACCAATCTGGGCAACATGGTAAACCCTCACCTCTACAAAATATTTTTTTGGGGGTTGGGGGGTTAGAGTCTCACTCTGTTGCCCAGGCTGGATCGCAGTGGTGTGATCTTGGCTCACTCTGCCTCCCAGGCTCAAGGGATTCTCCTGCCTCAGCCTCCTGAGTAGGTGGGATTACAGTCACCCACCACCATGCCCAGCTAATTTTTGTGTTTTTAGTACAGGTGGGGTTTCACCATGTTGGCCAGGCTGGTCTCGAACTCCTGACCTCAAGTTATCCACCCATCTTGTCCTCCCAAAATGCTGGGATTACAGCCGAGAGCCACTGGTGCCTGGCCTCTACAAAAAACTTTAAACTATTAGTCGGTCATGGTGGCATGCATCTGTAGTCCCAGCTATTTGGGTGGCTCAGGTGGGAGAATCCCTTGAGCCTGGAAAATTGAGGTTGCAGTGAGCCGTGTTCACACCATTGCTGTACTCTAGCCTGGGCAATAGAATGAGATCCTGTCCAAAAAAAAAACCCCACAAAAAACCCCTACATGCCAACATCCCATTTAGACTGTTTAATCCAGCAGTTGTGGTTTTGTTAGAAAAACAGTGTTAAAGATTTCCAATAATTCCCACAATGGCCATAAATTATCCTGGGTGTAATTTTACCATCAGTTTAAAAATGACCACATGAGAATGAGCATGAAATCTGAATGGTCTTCTGTCTAATGTCAGAAAGAGAGTAAACTCTTCCCTACCTCACAGTTAGGACTATGAAGGTCACATATCAGTAAAACTCCATGTTTGTGGAGTAAATCAGTGAATGAGTTCTGGACTTTCACCCTATCCCTAATTCTTTCATTTTAATGAATGAATATCTAATTTGTTCAGTTAATCTGTAAGAAAGCCAAAAATTCAATCAAGGTTAACTGGGGTTGGGGGAACTTAAGGAATCTAATCAAATATTTTTTTAATTTTTTTTTTTTTTTGA